GTTCTTTGCAGCTGACAGCCCATTTGCAAGAGGAGGGTTGTGTATCCTGTTTAGGTGACAAGTGAAAATTAATCTGGCAATTCAAATAAAATAACTTGGCACCGCTTTCCTCTGGCTGATGCTTTCTTCTGCTCAGCCGAGGCCAGCAGTGAAATTCCTGGGAGTCGGTGCACGATGCAGACAGTCCTCGGCTTACGACTACAACAGCCTTGCAAGGTGGCGGTTGAGTGAGTCACAACCTGATTCCGCAACCATTTTTGCCACAGTTAAGCAAAGCCCTGCCCTTGTTTAATTGAACCGTGCAGTCATTAAGCAAAAACAGATGAAGAACGGCTACGGGAATTGGGTGTGTCTAGTCTAGTGAAAAGAAGGACCAGGGGTGACGTGATGGCAGTCTTCCAGTATCTCAGGTGCTGCCCCAAAGAAGAGGGAGTCAAGCTATTCTCCAAAGCACCCGAAGGCAGGACAAGAAGCAACAGATGGAAACTAATCAAGGAGAGAAGCAACCTAGAACTAAGGAGAAACTTCCTAATGGTGAGAACAATCAACCAGTGGAACGACTTGCCTTCAGAAGTTGTGGGTGCTCCATCACTGGAGGCTTTTTAAGAAGAGACTGGAGAGCCACTTGTCCAGAATATCTGGGGTCTCCTGCTTGGGCAGGGAGTTGGATTAGAAGACCTCCAAGGTCCCTTATTCTGAATCTGGCTTCCCCACCCCCCCATTGACTCTGCTTGTTGGAGGCCAGCTGGGAAGGTCATCAACAGGGCTCATGCGACCTCAGGATGCTCCAACCATTGTAAATACATGCCAGTTGCCAAGCAGCTGCATTTTGATCACATGATCATGGGGATGCTGCAGTGGTCATCAAGGCAAGGACCTGCCAAAAGTCTCTTTTTTTTCAGTGCCATTGTAACTTCAAAAGATTGCTCAACCTATGCTTGCAAGTCAGGGGATTGCCCGTATTCTTTTACACAATGTAAGCTGTCCAGAATCTTGTAGCACCTGATATTCAGAAGTGTTGGTCTTCACATCTGCAGGTAGTTTTCCCCTAGCCACTGTAAGACAAGGTTGCCTTTGGAGTCTTTGAGCTGATCGGAGACATTTCCAGCCAGCCTTATTTGCAACCACCGTAAATTCCCCTGCGCTGGCGGTGATGGATAGGTAAGCCTCTGCTCCTTGTCACTCATCTGTCACCTGTATAGGGGGGGGACACACAACGGTTATGCAAGAAATGTGTTGAAAGAGCTCTGTTTTGCAGCCACTGGGTAAAACGCCTGGTCTGCTTCTTTAGGGACTCAGTTCTCTGTCTTTGCCACTTCAGTGAAATTTACCGTAGCTTACACTAAAAAAGATTGTGAGCTTTATTAAGAGTTTCTCCAGGGCAATTTTCCTTCCCAGGTGTTATATATCTTTGATTTTCAGGAGCGGCAAAGGCAGGGGGGGGGGAGCCCTGGATGAGAAACCAATAGCTAATAAAAAAAAAAAGCACAGGGATATTTCTTAATGTGCTTTTTTGCTTCATTTTTCTTTACAGCTTTAAAGAACAAACACAACAGTTCAAGCCCCAAGTAGAAAAGCATCACAAAAGGAAAGGTTTGCACCAAAAATCAAGGTTTTGCAAAAAAAACCAAAAAACAAAAGAGAGGTGAAGCTTTTTGAACAGTTGATCTTTGCAAATGTAAAACCCCCACCTGGACCCCAGACAGATCTACATTTGGGGAAAAAAACACCCTTTTTAGTGCAATGTGGTTATTTATAAGCCACAATTTATTTTATGAATGCTAATATGTATACAGGTAAGTTCTAGACCAGTGATGGCAAACCTTTTAGAGACCGAGTGCCCAAACTGCAACCCAAAACCCACTTATTTATCGCCAGGTGCCAGGTGGGCGTGGCCCACTGAGTGGGCGTGGCTGTGGTGGTCATGGCAGATTGGGTGGGTGTGGCCAAGGTGGGCGTGATCACCTCAATGTTGCTCGTGGGGAGGGACGTCTGTGGGGGCCGGGCAGGGTTGGGGGAGATCCAGGGGGTCTCTGGCAGGTGGGGCAGTGGGCAGGAGGCTCATCCTGCGGGGTGAGATGAGACAAGGCGAGGGTGCCATTGTCACAGGGCAAGGTGGGTCAGGGGTCAGGGTGGCTGCTGCCTGATACCATCGACCTCTGCACACAGAGACCAGCGAGCGCATGGGTGCTGGGATGCATCCGGCCATGTGGGACCTTGGCGAGTTAGCGGGCAGCTGGTTGAAGAGGGACGGTTGCCATCTCTGGGGCATGGCCTGTGTGCCCACAGAGGGGGCTCTGAGTGCCACCTCTGGCACACGTGCCATAGGGTCACCACCACTGTTCTAGACTATAACCGAAAGAGAATTTCCATTGCTAAACAAGGTGATTGTTAAATAAGGTGAATCTGATTTTACCACCTTTTTTGCAGCGTTTGTTAAGCAAATCAATCAGAACAGAGCTGGAAGGGAATTTGGAGGTCTTCTAGTCCACCCTCCTGCTCCAGCAGGAGACCCTATGCCATTTCTCAAACAAGTGGCTGTCCAATCTCTTCTTAAACATGTCTGGTGATGAAGTAATCACAACTTCTGAAGGCCTGTTGTTCCACTGGTTCATTGTTCTGACTTCAGTTGTTAAGTGAATTATGCGGTCTTTAAGCAAATCCAGCTTTCCTCATTGAGTTTCTTGTTGGAAGTGTTGAAGGAAAAGTCTTCATCATGGTTCAGTCCAAGCCAGGAATAAACAACATGGCAACTGCTTTAGAAAGAAGATTGCAGTTTATTGAAGAGGAGAGACAGACAGAAAGATGGCTCTGGAAGAAAAAAGAGTGAGCACATGTAGGGAGTGGGTTTCTATACCCTCTGGAGCCTTTTGTTTGGAGTTGTTCCTGTGGCATGAACTTTGACCTGAGTCTGAGTGTGCCTTTCTGGTATTCTGATGGTGGTGGGTTAATCCTATTAGAGTTTGGGTAGGGTATGTAGATTTTAGGTGTCTTTGTCTTCCTAAGATTCTAGCTGGAGGGTTCCAACCTTCCTGAATGGATTATTAATCTGCATTTCTACAGAGCTGGTTTCTGTTTGGGGGAGGGAGACTTGGGGCTATTAAGAAAACTGGACATCCTTTTCTGCCTCTTTAAGATCCTTTGAAGAAATATATTTTTCTGCCCTTTTAATATTTCCTTCTCTGGGGGGCTGACTTCCCACAGAAGTCGGTTGGAAAGATCACACGTGGGAATCACCTGACCTCAAGACGCTGCAATTGTCACACGTGCATGCCAGTTGCCGTGCATCCAAATTCCAAATCACACAACTGCGATGCTACTACGAGCATTAAGTGTGAGAATCGGTTGTAAGTCACTTTTTTTCAGTGCCATTGTAACTTCAAAAGGTTGATAACAAATAGCTGTTAAGGCAAGGACTATCTGTACAGAGCAGGCAAAGGTGTCTGAATTATCTAAAGTTGCATAACTCTGGAATATTATTTAATAGTTGGGGGAAAGGGAAATGCTGGAAATTTGAGATTTGACTCAAATATGACCTGTTTTTTTGGGAGGGGGGAGTTGAGATGTGTCAGAGGACTGCTAGAATTTGAGACACTCAATTCTCTGCATGGGAAGCAAAGGATGCACCCCCAAATACGGACAAATCTTATTTCTAATACTAGCTGAACCCGGCCACGTGTTGCTGTGGCTCAGTCTGGTTAAATGGAAAAGAAAGAAAAGAGAAAGCGCACGTTTGCGTTGCTTTTACGTCCAACAGATGGCGCTGTTTTTTTAAAAAGAGCATGTTTTTACCTGTCACAGGTGTGACAGCTATATAATAGTAGGTATATAAAAACACGCGCGTATTCGAATGCAACGTTGTGTCAAAATTTCAAAGCAATCGGTGAAGAACTTTCGGAGATTTAAGATTTTGAACAAACGAACATATAGATAGAAGATCGATAGATAGAAGATTGATGCAATCCAAATGCAGGTTTTGGCTTTTTAGCTGAAAAGGGACAAAGGGTTTTCAACCTGCTACCCTCCAGAGATTTTGGACAATAACCCTCACCCTGAGCTCTAGTTCTCGTTCAGCGCTATATAACCCATTTTGCTCTAAGCAACTGGGATGGCCATCTTGGCAAGGATGATGGGAACTGAGGTCCAAGCAGCAGATGGGTTGCTCCTGGCAAGGCAGGTGTTTATCATCTCTGATTTATTTTTTTTTTGAAACGAAACATAAGCACGTTTTAAACTGCCCACGACTGGACGATGCACAAAGCAATGCAGCTGAGGAATACATCTGCAAATATTGATCTTCTCACTAAGCTGCTTCATTCAAGCTGCTAAATTTCGCTGATTCTGAACTTCCTCCGCTGCCTTTGCTGAATGAGATGCAACGTTAGCAAAGGCATGATGGATACACGTGTTAAATCTCGCCCCTTTGGACCAAGTACAGGAATAGGCAACCTTGGCTCTTTTATGACTGGAGGACTTCAACTCCCAGAATTCCTGAGCCAGCATAGCTGGCTCAGGAATTCTGGGAGTTGAAGTCCACGAGTCATAAAAGAGCCAAGGTTGCCTACCCCTGGACCAAGAGATCAAATCTAGGTCGCAAATGCAAGCTGGCAAGAAGGGAAACGTCATAGAAGCTGCACCCCCGTCCTTTATAGTTCACCCTTTATAGCTTCATGTTTTATTTTCCCCCCGCCACTGCTTCCCCATGGTTTCTTCCGAAAAAGGCGGGGCTTCCTTTGCTATTCGGGGCGTCCCATCGGCTTCCCGCACGATCCCGGTCTTTCTTTCGTAGTCGTTTGCCCGTCCACCCCCGTTTTTGCGGAGCGTTGGTAGGTTCCGCTCGAAGGCCGTGCTCTTTACGCTTCCGTTGCCGCATTCTGGAAAGGGCTCTGCGCCCTCGAGAGGCGGGCGTGAGAAGCCCGCTACGCCGCTTCCGTTAGAGAGCTCCGCTTATTCCCTACCGAGACTTACGGCGGCGTGGCCGAGGGACGGAAACGGCGTAGCGGACGCTCGTGGCGGGACGTGGCGGACCCAGGACGGTAATGCTCCCCGGGTCTCTCGGCGGAGGGCGGCAGGAATCCGGGGTGCCTGATGGCAGCAGCCGGGCGGGGAGGGGGGAGCAGGATCCCCTGGTCGGCCCCGAATAGTACTCCAGAACCCATCGTCCCCTGCCCGCTGGGTGCCTTCCTCCTGGTCTTCTCCAAATGTGCTTGGGCCACCCCATGGTTCCCAGCTGATGAACTTCTTTCATGGCCCTCCAGGTCGATGGGACTCTAACGCCCATCATCCCCAGCCATCATGCTCCAAGGTAGCCCCCATCATCTCAACCTCTTCCTTTCCCCATCACCTTCCGGCCTTATGAAGCTGCAGCTCCCATCATCCCCAGCCCGCTTGCTCCTCTTCCCTCCCTTCATCTATGCTGGACTACAGCCCCCATCGTCTCAGGCTCCTTCCTTTTCTGCAGCTCCCATCATCCCCAGTCGTCACAGCCTCTTTCCCTGTCCCGGAGAAGCTGGACTCTCACCCCCAGCCGGCACAACTGGACCCTCGTCCACCCTGGGGATGGGCTCTTCTGCCTCTCCATCGTCCCCAACCGGCGGGACCTCCAGATGTGGCACAATCCAGATGTTTAAAGACTAAAAAACCCATCATCCGCCTACTTCTCAACCCCCCCTCCCTCAAAGTGAATAATACTATGGTAACGTTCATTCACAAAGCCACACTATGCGTTTCTATGTAAGGCAGAGGTACCAAAGCTAGTACAATTAATAGTAGTAATAATAATAATGACAACAACAGTTACCCTTAAATTTTGTACTGGCCATTGCAAAGCTGGTAGACATCAATCTTTATTCTTTGAACTTTTCTTCTGCTTTTTTGTTTAAAAAATATTCCACCAGCCCATTCCTCGGAGTCTCTCTCCCCCTCGTTGCAGATTGTTTTGAAGTTGCCGGAGCACCCAAGGAAACCACAACTGGGAATAGAAACCTCTGGAATCCTCCCCAAATGACCCACCCTAAAGTGGGCTTGTGGGCAGCTTCCTCTGAGCAAACTCCCCTGACTCCGTGTTCAATTCTTCCTCTTCAGAGTGGGATCTGTTCCCAGATGGATGGTGACCCCTGAAGCCCCTTGGACGGCTACCTGCCTTTGACGGCCTCTCCGTGTAATCCTGGTCCGTCCTCGGCCTTGGCGCAGGACTTCACCATGTGGCGCAAGGCCCTGGGGGTGGCTCTGCTGGCCTTGACCACGGGTTACGTCTTCTGGCTGGACCCCGCGTTGCCGGATTCCCTGTGGGAGCATCTCTCGGGCTCCTTCCTGAACCAGCTTCGGGGGGATCTGGGGTCCCCGGAGGGCAGCATGGCCGAGGCCTGGGACGCCCTCATCACCCAGCCAGCTAAGCAGTGGAACAGAGTTGCTGTGGGGTAAGGATGGATCGACCGCTTGCTTGGGTGATGTAGAATTGAAGAACGCCCAAATGTAATGACGCTTCCCCCCTGACTTTGCTTGTCAGAAGGTCACCAAAGGGGATCCCGTGATCCCGGGACACTGCAATAGTCGTAAATATATGCCAATTGCCAAGCATCCAGATTTTAATCACATGACCACAGGGATTAAGTGTGAAAAACAGCCATGAATCACTTTATGCTATTGTAACTTTGAACGGTCACTACTAAACAAACTGCTATAAGTTGAGGACCACCTGTGTCTCAGAAACCTTACAGAGAGGAAGCGTCCCAACTGGGCATTTTTGCAGGGATGTGTCTGCCAGGCAGAATCCATCCATGGCTGCCTACTTTGGTGGTACAAGGAATGTGTTCTTTTTCCATCATGGGGAAAGTTTCATTTTTATGTGTGTCGATTAGTGTTCATTCAAAGTGACAATAAAGTTTATTCTATTCTATTCTATTCTATTCTATTCTATTCTATTCTATTATTCTATTCTATTCTATTCTATTCTATTCTATTCTTTCTGTTATTCTATTCCATTCCATTCCATTCCTTATTCTATTCTATTTCTCCATCGTTATGCTGAGAAAAGGCGTTCAGGTAAGACAACGCCTATTCCTATTCCTATTCCTGTTCTATTCTATTCTATTCTATTCCTATTCCTATTCCTATTCCTATTCCTATCCTACCCTACTCTACTCCTATTCTACCCTACCCTACCCTACTCTACTCTACTCTACTCTACTCTAACCTGTGAGGTGGGGGGGGAGGCCTGGTCTTCGTTTTTCCAAAGCAGAATGGTCATCCCTTCCGAGGCAGAAGGCCCCGTGTGCAAATTGGAGGGTTTTATGCAGAGCCTTGATACCTGAGGTAGTCCTTCTCTCTTCGCTTGCTCTTCAGGGTCAATGCCTGCGTAGATGTGATCCTCTCCGGGGCGAAGCTGCTGCAGGCCCTCGGCTTCCGCGGCCAGGGCGGGAAAGACCACTCTGTCTTGCGTTCCGCTGCTGATCTGGAAGAAGCCTTCCTCCATTTTATGGGGAAGGGGGCTGCTGCAGAACGGTTCTTTAGTGACGCAGACGCCTTCCACCGCATCGCACAAATGGCGGCCAGCTATCCTGATGCCCAGGTGGGCTTTTCGCTTGAGAAGGAGGTCCTCGTGGCCCAGTTGGTATCAGGAATCAAAGGCCTCTTCCGGAGGCGTGCGAGATTTGGACCCCAAGCAGGGATTCTAAGGATCCAAAGCATTCCTGCCCTTTCCAGATCCGAATATTGCATTTTACTACCTTTTAAATACATGTCCAAAATAACAAAGTCTTGGTTTCCAATTAGATTACTGCAATGTTGGCCACTTCAAGATGTGTGGACTTCAACTCCCAGAATTCTGGCTGGAGAATTCTGGGAGTTGAAGTCCACATATCTTCAAATGGCCAAGTTTGAAAAAGACTATTTTTTTTCCAACAAACTACAGTCTGATAAAGCGTTACCTTACAAAGCATAAGCTACCCACGTTAGTTTGTTATGCATGCCCCGCATTTCATTTGTGGTGGGTTTAAATGACGAGACTCTCCCATTTTCTTAAAAAGAAAAAAGGGAAAAAAAAGACCTGTTTTGTATAGTGTACTATATTTTTAAATTTTAAAACTTTTAAATTAATATTTTCATAGGTATTTTTGGCTTCGGCCAGGGACAACATCTACCTGACCTTGAAGGCTAAGCAGAATTGGGGCTGGTTATTCCTTGAATCTCCCTGAGAATTCCAGAGTTAAACTGGGAAGCTGAAGAAATACTCCCAAAGATTGATTAATTCATTATGTGCCATCAAATCACTGCCGACTCTTAGCAACCACATAGATTTTCTCCAGGGGGATCTGTCCCTAACTTGATCTTATCCCCAACTTGATCCTTCAAGTCTTCCACAGATGTTCCCATTGCTACAGTAGCTGAGCCCATCATGCCCTTATTGCTGCTCGTCCTTTTCTTTCTTTCCATCTTTTCCAGCACTACAGACTTTTCAAGAGAGCTAGGTCTTCATGTTGATTATGTACCATCAAGTTGGCATCAACTCTTAGCAGCTACTTAGACAGATTTTCTCCCAAGACAATTTAACCTGGTTTCTTCAGCTCTTCCAGTATATTGAGTATGCTGCTGGTTATTTTTTTTCTTCTCTTTCCATCCACCTTTCCCAGCCATGAGAGCTTTCTCCAGACAGCTAGATCTTTCCATTGTGTGCCGAAGGAGATAATTTGAGCCAAAGAAAACCAGTGGCAAATCGCTTCCTATGTAATTGCTCCCAAGGAAACAGCCTAGATGGGGTCAGCGGGAGTCAATTCCTATGTTTTTGCCTTTTAATTTGCTTTTAATAAAGGCATTTGGGGATAGCTCTGGGTGTGTGTGTGTGTGTGTGTGTGTCTGTGTGTATTACATGCAGGTCAGCCTTTGTAATTAAACCTCCTTTAGCCGTGTTCCGCTGGTTTAAAGGATGAAAATGTGAAACACTGCCCAATGCTACAGATTTCCAAGGCTACCTTAAACCAGTGTTTCTTCAATAACTCCAGGTTGATAGTGAATCTTCTGAAATGTACAGCTATGTAAATTTCTGCAAAGTCATGCTAGTTCTTGGCCGCCAGCTGCACCAGAAGCTGTAAATCCACTGTGAGTTGACAGCTTATTTTTATCAATGCTCAATCTCACTTTTAATTTAGGACTTGATTAATGGCTTTAAGATTCTTCCTTTTGTCACACTTGCGTTTACCAGACGTTTTGAGAGCTCAATTTTTCCCCGGTTCTATACAAACAAGCCCACATGTTTATCTTACTTGTACTTATTTTGGGAGAGATAGTAGCAGACTGGAATTAGCTGATATCTGATGCTCAGAACGTGTTTCTGGAAGCAGAAAGACTGCTGGTCCTCCCTGGGAGGCGGGAGTGTCGCTTATCAAGATTAGTTGTCATTTTTTTTTAAACTGAGTTTTGCATTCTGTTCTTCGTCAAAAGAATATGCCCAGCAGATGAAAGAGCTAAAATAAAACTGAAAGCAAATCAAGAACTGAAAATGGCTTGCAAGAGTCAGCAAATATGTCAAGGAACCGAAAGCTTGAATAAAGAGAATAAAATACATAATCAAGAGAACTTCGCAAACCATCTTGTCTGTGTTCTCACCATCCTCTTTTTGGCCCCGCTCTCTTCAATTTTACCTGCTTATAAAATTGCCAGTGCAGAAATCTGCAGCTTTGGAAAATGGCATTGACCCGTGAAACCTTACGCTTCAGTGTAATTGGCGGGTTTTTAAAATGCCACCTATCTCCCTCTTGTATTATGACAGTATTGGCAAAAGGCTTAACAATGTCCCTTCACTTGGAAGTGGGTCCAATGACTTCTTACTCTCTTGCAGTTGTATGTTGGAGGAAATGCCGCTCTCATTGGCCAGAAAATTGCATCTCATCCTGACTTAAAGGTAAGCTTTAGTCTCTGCCTGTAACTGTAAATTGTGTTGTCCCACCGGTGTTTGTATATCATAATGTGGCTGACAATGTACACAAATGACGCACGTCTGCTCACTGCATTTAGATCTCGAGCAGTAGCACACCAAGAGGATCAAGGGTGCACGTGAACAAACGTGACTTGGCAGACAGGCATGATCGACTTTTATATCCTGTTTTTAATTAATCAATAGGAAAATGTTTTGCCATCCTACGCCTCTAAATGCGGATCAGGATCAAAATCGGAAAATTCATTAAGAACCTAGCCAATTTGAGCGAAGTTATTATCGGTCTGTTTACTTGTAGGTTCTACTTTGTGGCCCAATCGGGCCTAAACTTCACGAGTTGCTTGACGAGAATGTAATGGTCCCTCCAGAATCCCTGCAAGAATTAGATGAATATCATCTTATTTTGGAATACCAAGCAGGTATGTGCCATTTGAAGATCCAAAAGGCAATTGGTAGAGTCATGTAAACGACTATTATCATTAATATATATATTGTAACCATTAATGCAGTGTTTTTCAACCTTGGCGACTTAAAAGACGTGGACTTCAGCACCCAGAATTCTTCAGCCAGCAAAGCTTCAAGTCCATATGCCTTCAAGTCGCCAAGGTTGAGAAACACAGCACTAATGTATCCAGTAATTAAGAAACATCCTGGTTGAGAGCTGGACACCATCACAAATCCACCGCTTAACCATTATATCTTAGGTTCAGATTTGCAACATGGTCCCACAGAACTCTCTGATCGATTATGTTGAAGTCTAATAGAGAAATACCCAAATGCAAAAATAGTAAAAAAAAAATAAAAAATAAAAATTAACTAAGCCAGCTAAGCTGGCTCAGGAATTCTGGGAATTGAAGTCCACGAGTCATAAAAGAGCCAGGGTTGACTACCCCTGTCTGCTTCGGTGTGATCAAACGGGAGAATGAGAGGCAAGCAGTGAGCATGCTCAGTAGGAGTCTGGCGATGAAACGGATTCGTGAGACCTGCTCTTTCCTCCGGACTTTGCTCTGCCACATTAACGTTCTGCAGTCAGCAATATTTTGAATCCACCCAGGCCTGGAATTTCCAGTAATGGGAATATGCACAGTTCTGCTTTAAGTACAGAAAACTGACTGCATGATTACGTGATTGAGATCTACGGTGTTTTTGCAAAAAAAAAAAAAAAAGGATGTTTACAACTATTATTCACTTAACGAGTGTGGCGTTTGCTTAGTGGCTGCAGTGCTCGCTTTATGACCACTGCCAGAAAGATCATAGTGTTGAGTTGGTCAAATGACCATCGTAACTTACAGCCGTAATGTACAGGCTCCCGTTATGGGCCTAACTTGATGACTACCTGCGAGTGATTTGACTAGCAGAAGTTCCAAAACTACGAGTGGCCTAATGGCACGCTTTCTACAGAGGGAGTTTATTCTTTTCCTGATAACCGAATATCAGGAGAAATCATAAGAGCTATAATAATAATAATAATAATAATAATAATAATAATAATAATAATAATAATAATAATAATAATAATAAAGTTGGAAGAGACCTTGGAGGTCATCTAGTCCAACCCCCTGCTCAGGCAGGAAACCCTATACCATTTCAGACAAATGGCTGTCCAGTCTCTTCTTAAAAACATCCAGTGTTGGAGCATTCACCGCTTCTGGAGGCAGGTTGTTCCACTGGTTAATTGTTCTCACTGTCAGGAAGTTTCTCCTTAGTTCCAGGTTGCTTCTCTCCTTGATTAGTTTCCACCCATTGCTTCTTGTCCTGCCTTCAGGCGCTTTTGGGGAATAGCTTGGCTCCCTCTTCTTTGGGGCAGCCGCTCAGATATATTGGAGGACTGCTATCATATCCCCCCTCGTCCTTCTCTTCGTTAAACTTGTCACAAAGGCAAGATGTCTCTGCAAAGATTCCGTGTAATGATGGGCTTTTGTGTTGTGTTGTGTTGTGTGTCTGTGTGTGTGCTTATCAGGTGAAGAATGGGGAGAGCGGAGAGCTCCCAACGCCAACCGATTCATCTTCTCCCATGACCTGTCCAACGGGGCCATGAACATGCTAGAAATATTTGTATCCAGCCTGGAGGAATTTCAGCCAGACCTGGTGGTGCTTTCAGGATTCCATATGATGGAAGGACAGACCAGAGAGCTACGCCAGAAGAGGATCCGAGAGGTAAGATCCAAAATGCTTGGGTTTCTCTTTTCAAAAGTTCCCCAGAACTATTTTGTCACTTAAAAAGACTAGAGATAGAGCTTTACCGTCAGGATGCTGGGAATGAGGTAGGCTGCAATCCCGAGGTTGACAAACCAAAGCTTGCAGGCAAAATGTGGCCCACCCAGTTTTTGTATGGTCCACGAGTTAGAATATGGTCAGATGGTCAAGACTGACCTCAAGCAACCTCTTAGGGTGAGGGGAGGGCCAGGATCAGGCCTCCTAGATTGTGGCCTATCAGCAGCCTCCCTGCTGGTGCACCAATGCTGTCCATTGGCTGCCATGCTCCTTGGCCCACAGATCTGTCAGACATGCCCGCAAAGATGGAAGAAGGACAGGATCTGGTCCTTTATAGATAAAGCTTACCAACTCCTGGTCTAATCCATTATCCTCCAGCTTGGAGCATCTCCTGGTGGCAATGCTGGGGATGATGGGAGTGGGCATCCAGCATGATGGTCTAGGAAGATGAATCAAAGACTTTCTTTTGCCCTGCAAAGAGATATGCTTGGATGTTCACCACTTATTGACGCAACAGCCCTTCAATCGGAAAGAAGCTGACTCCGTTTGGTGGTCTCCCTCTGCTATCTTCCTATATGCCTTTGCTTCGCCTAATCTGAATTTTTTTGGGTGTGTGTGTGCGTGTGTGTTTCTGTAGGCCGTAACTTCCATTTCTGACATTCCCATGGACGTCCCGATCCATCTGGAATTAGCCGGTATGACCGACCCAGACCTCATGAGAGAAATAATTCACCAGGTAATCACAATTGATGGAGTCTCTTCACCTTCAGAACAGATGGAAGTTGTGAGATGAATTTAAAGTATCTGGGATGCTGTAGACAAAGGCAGAGTTATTTAATGTGGAGGGAAGACCTTGGCTGGAGATTACGACCTGCCTATTTTACATATTATGAGTCGGGAACCAGCACAGTCACAGGTCAAGATCCAAGGTCTACCAAAAGGCAGATCACCACAGACTGCACAGGCCAAAGGTCCATTCTATCAGATGGCAAGGATCTCCAGCTGTCTTTTGGCATGCTTGATCCAAAGTTATGCTTTAATTTCCAGTATATATCATGCCTTAATCTAGGGGTGTCCAACCTTGGATTCTTTTCAGACTTGTGGACTTCAACTCCCAGAATTCCCCAGCCAGCCACGCGTGAATTCTGGAAGCTGAAGTCCAAGGTTGGACACCCCTGCCTTCATCTTTAGAAGTTGGGACTCCTCCAATGCCAACCTATCACTTGGTCTGTCTGTTAGCAGATCTTCCCTCTCGTGAACTCCATCGGTTTGAACGAGCAAGAGCTGCTGTTCCTCAGCCAGGCGGCCTCGGGACCTCACTCCTCCTTAACTTCCTGGAATGGTGTTCCAGATGTGGCTGTTGTCAGTGACATCATTTTCTGGATCTTGAAAGAATACGGGAGAACTTCAGTTCAGGCTTCGGATCTCACCCGGATCCACTTCCATACTTTGGCCTACCACCTCCTGGTTACCGTGGACGGGTATTGGGGCAACCAGGTGGCAGCGGTGGCTGCTGGAGCCAGGGTGGCGGGGACCCAAGCTTGTGCCACCCAGACCATTGACGTCAGCAAAGTCTTCCTGAAGGCACCACTGGAGTTCGCCACGTCCAAGATGGAGGGGGCCTCCAGAGTCTCCTTAAATCCGAAGGAGCCCATATCGGTATGGCATCAGGACGCCATTACTTTCCATTACACCCCCGTGCTGGTGTGTAAAAGCCCTCTGCGGACTGTGGGCCTCGGGGACGCCATATCTGCTGAAGGACTCCTGTATTCAGAAATCCATCCTCATTAAGAGGAGATCACTCCATCCTTCAGGCCAAGCAGGTAGAGGCTGGAATTCAGATTGGATCAGGAACCAAAGGGGCAAAAAAATAAATGCTATCCAAATGCTTGGATTTATTGCTACAGGAATGATTATAACGCAAAAATGGTAAGGTAGGAAGGGACTCCTTTTGGTCGGAGCGAGAAAGCCAAGTTTATTTAATTATTTTTTTAATTAAGTCTATTTAATTTGCTATAATTTCTAAAAAGGGGTGTTGTTCGTGGTGCCTGCTTATTCCAGGGTGGGATATAGGGATTCTTTTCAGAATCATATCGGCCAGGCAGAAGTAAAAAAATAAAATAAAAGTTATTTCTTCACCTTCCTGACATAGCAAAACCCAACCTTCTACTTCTTTGGAAGACCAATGTATTTACCCTTTAACTTTCCTACTTCCAAAGATGTACCAGCCTGTTAATAGGCAAGGAAAGGATTCTTCTCTTAGGCTCATAAAGTGACCAAGGCTGCTGTCAAAATATCAGAAGTATTTCCTTCGCTGGATAATGCTAATTTCTTCTTTTTTCCTTTTGCGGTTGCGACTTTCAAAGGTCTTTTGTTGGCAAGGTGATTCTCAAATGTGAGGCAGTTTTGTCTCCTAACAGTGAAGGCTGGGGGCAAGGACGAGAAAGGAGAGCCTACCGTATAACCGCAGCTGACATCTTAAGCGTAATAAACAGAACAAGCTGCAATAAATCTGTGCAAAATGCCGAGGTATATCTTGCTGAAGCCTTAACGTGGCCCTTAATAGACAACCAGAAACAATGTTTTTTGTTTTTTTTAACTGAACTTTGATTAAGAAAACGGAGCTTCTAGCATTTCTGGCTTGCTATAATTAGCACGAGGTCTTAGGACAGTGGTTCTCAACCTGTGGGTCGGGACCCCATTTGGGGTCGATTGACCATTTCATGGGGGTCGCTAAGCAAGGCTGTCTGCCATTTTTTTTCCCCTTTTCCGGCGGGTGCCTTACCTCCCTTGGGCTGGGCCAGCTGGTGGTCGGCCTGCTCCGTCTCTGCCGCTTGCCAGCTACGCCTCGGCCGGCACGGGGCGGAACCACGCATGCGCGGCGCTCCCGGGCAGGGAAAGTCCTCGACTTACGACCGGTTGGGTAGTCCTCGACTTACGACCGGTTTAGTCCTCGACTTACGATCAGTTTAATCCTCGACTTACGACCGGTTTAGTCCTCGACTTACGACCGGTTGGGGTCGCGGCATTAAAAAGGTTGAGAACCACTGTCTTAGGATCTCAGGAAGGTGGATTTCAATTGTTCATCCCATCTTTTTCTTTGCAGTACAGCATAAAAACAGTGCCTGGTATGAGAGGGTCAGCCCCGTGAGTTATTTACATAAATAAAATCCAGAATCTGCCAGGAGCTGGGCAAAAGCCAGCGCAGGTGTGAGGTTTGGGGGCAGAAATTCAGATCCAAATCTGTGCTCGGTAATTCCCACTCGGTAGGGGAGACTTCAGTGGTTGTAAATTACATGGGGGCTGTGTAAAGAGTAAAGGAGTGGGTTTAAGTCCCAGAGAGGAAGGGCAAGATAAACATATCACTAACAATGGAACTGAAATGTTCAGATTGGCCTTTTGAGTGTGACAGAATCAGATGAATGCCGGGAGACCTTAATAATGTACATAGGTAGCTCTTGACTTAAAACCATGATTGAGCCTGGAATTATGGTTGTTAAGTTGTTGTGGTTAAATGGGTCGTCATGCAGCTGCACCCGATTTTGTGAACGTTTTCTGGCGCTTAAGCAAATCCATTTTATCCAATGGGCGTTTTTTGTTTTTTTGCCCGAAAGCAAATGTCCCAAAATGTCAAAAATCACCAAAAATTCTGGTCGTGTGTCCACAGAATGCCACAAACGGCTGTAAATAAGATCCAGTTGCCAAACCAGTTGCCAAACACCCAAAATATAATCACATGACTGGGGGGGGGGTACGAGAACTGTAAATCAAGTCGTAAGTACCTTTTGTGGGGTCCGTCATAACTTCAAACGGTCGCTAAGCAATGTACTGTGTCCCATTGATTCCCCCCCCTTTTTTTTGTTAAATGTCATTGTAAATGTATTCAGACTCAAGGTACAATTAGAAAGACAGCAGCCCCTGAAACATTTTTTCTCAGATAGTGTGATTTATTTATTCATTTTTAAAGCGGGGTACCTCTCTCTCCCCAGTTGAAATAGCCACAATTTTTGCATTCCTGCGAAGTTGATGCGTTTTAGACTTTCCCCACTTCTTGAGACGGAATAGATGTTTTCTTTGGCTCATATTCTGGACAGTTGCTCATATCCTTTAACCGAAAGTAACGATACGGCTCACGTCAGGACTGTGGTAGGGAGGGGGATGTTTAATACTTGTCATTTCGGGGTGCTGTTTTCTTTCTTGGACTGAATATTCGAGAACTCCAGTGGCATTGGGACACTTGGGCGGGAGAGCAAACATCAGAATGGTGGGATTGAGGAACTAGCAGCTAAAAACTTAGAAGACTTGAATACGTTGTTGTTTTTTTTACACTTGCTCTTTCTTATGAGAGAAATGGTGGCAGTTAAATGTGCAGCTTCCTTCTACAGAGTCTGCACTGCTGATAAGGATGCACTGCTTCTATTGCACAGTGGCCGCTATGTGGTGGCTACACGGGAAAAAAAAACACTCCACAGTTGTTGCTTTCACTCCTTGTCTTAGTCCCTTTTAGATTTCGGGTCTATTTCATCCTATTCAAACCTGGCCAGCCTTTTTCAACAATTTAATCCTAGTTAGAGTCATCCAGGCTATATTGGGAGACCTCATCCCTGCTAACGTTCCTTTCACATGTTTTCTTATCTGTGGCCTTTCTGTTTTACTGCATTCCTTCTACTTTGGAATAGCCACGTTTACTTGAGATCTTCTAAAGCAGAGGTCTCCAGCCTTCTGGGCACCAGGGACCGGTTCCGTGGAGAGAGGTTTTTCCATGGACCGGAAGATGCGTGGTTTTGTGTGCTGCCTGCATCCCACGGATGGGGCTTTGCTTGCTTGCGTGGACCAGTTGTTGGCATGCCGTGGACCGGTACTGGTCCACAAACTGGGGGTTGGGGACCCCTGTTCGAAAGAGTATTATTGGCATCCAAATTGGGAAAAAAAGTGCATATTTTTGGCAGATTCTCGATACTTTTCCCTGCCCGTTCTACTAGAACAGTGTTTCTCAACCTTGTCAAAACGTGTAGACTTCAGTTCCCAGAATTCTGACTGAGGAATTTGGCAAGGTTGGGAATCAACACACTAGAGCAGGGGTTCTCCAAACTGGGCAACTTTTAAGACTTGTGGACTTCAACTCTTTTTCGCCGAGCCCTGAAGGCCCATCTATTCCGTGCGGCCGGCCTGGCGTAGTTTGATTATGTTTCAGTGGGGGTTTTTGTATGGGTGTGTTTTTAGAACAGGCCTGTTATTTAATTCGATTTTAGAACAGAAACTATTTATTTATTATCGTGGTTTTTAGTATCGCCTGTTCACCGCCCTGAGTCCCGTAAGGGAGNCGGCCGGCCTGGCGTAGTTTGATTATGTTTCAGTGGGGTTTTTTGTATGGGTGTGTTTTTAGAACAGGCCTGTTATTTAATTCGATTTTAGAACAGAAACTATTTATTTATTATCGTGGTTTTTAGTATCGCCTGTTCACCGCCCTGAGTCCCGTAAGGGAGATAGGGCGGTATATAAATTTAATAAATAAATAATAAACTCCCAGGATTCCCCAGCCACAGCATGGCTGGCTGGGGAATTCCTGGAGTCCACAAGTCTTTTAAAGTTGCCGAGTTTGGAGAACCCTGAACTAAAGCAAAGCAGCAATGTCAGCTGAAGATTTACACACCTTTCTTTATCCTCCTTTCAAGTGTGTGGGAGTTAAAATTCCCAGCTGGCACATGAGGTGGAAATTCTGTAGTTGCCAAATACGTTTGAATGGGAGGCTGAGCTAAAAGGGGATGGTCCAAGATTACTGCTAAAGAAATTATAATTATTAGATTTGTGAGCTTTTCTGAATCCCAGGAGGCGTCTTCCTATGGTTCCTTTGTACATAGTGCTTGCCTTATCATTTCATTCCATTCAAAATTAATTCACTGTAATCATATTATCCAAATTCTCAGGGAGTTGTCGGCTGGAGGTCCAAATGTAGGATCCGGTGCTTTAAACTGCATCGATGAAATGGGCAAAGCAGGGGGGTCCAACCTCGGCAATTTTTAAGACCTGTGTGACTTCAAGTCCCAGGATTCCCCAGCCATTGGTCTTGCCAAGTTGCCAAGGTTGGGCACCCCTGGGGTAAAGCATCGGCACCCATTTTTCTTGGTGCCAGGCAGTTGTGAAACATAACAGTTGCAAAACTCAACTGTGACATGGAAACTACATTTTTCTTCCTTCCTTTTCAGTAAAAAATAGCAGGGATTGAGTGGACCGTTTTAGGAGCCTTCTCTGAAGAGATGTCTTGAATAGCTTTTCTTGCCAAAGTATTCTGCCTGCGCTGTTCTTATGAAATAAGTATTTTTTTTAAATCATGTACGAGGTCTCGACGATATGGGTGTAAAAAATCGTACGGCGCTGTACAATGGTGTTTTCAATAAATGTTGTTTTGCATTTAATGTACAAAAGTGGCCTCGCCTGGTTTTTTTATATATATATATGCTTCACAGGTACCTGAAAAAACTTAGGGAACGAGATGCTACTTTTCATCCAAACAGATGTAGCTCTCTAGGGCAGTGGTGGCAAACCTATGGCACGGGTGCCAGAAGCGGCACTCAGAGCCCTCTCTGTAGGCACGCGCGCCGTCGCCCTAGTCCTAGGCCTTCAGCTGGGTTTTATAAAACCTTTTCGCTTTAGGCCTCCATGGCTGTGTGCAAAAAAAAAAAAAAAGGTTCAATCAGTCAATTTCAACTTCTTGTGGGGAAAAAAAAATCTTGCAAAGTTGGAATTGATTGATTGAACTTTTTAGTCCCACCCAGTCTGCCGTTACCACCGCAGCCATGCCCAGCCAATGGGCCACACCCAGCCAACGGGCCACATCCACCCAGCACCCGACGATGCATAAGTGGGTTTTGCGTTGCAGTTTGGGCACTCATTCTCTAAAAGGTTCGCCATCACTGCTCTAGGGTTTCTAAGAAAGGGACTTAATTCTCTGAACTTACCAAGAAATGCAACTGAAGCTGGGAAACTGTCCACAATGGGCCAAAGCTTTTCACAACTTTAGCTCTATTCCTGCTTACATGGAAAGAAATTACTTCTTTAGTAACTGGAGGGCTTCTCTCTACTTTACTAACATTATCAATAAAATTCCATGCATTTGCCACAGTTTCAATGTTTCAAGCTTCAGTTTGCTCTGAGGATAATTCTCCTAAGCTGAGCCCACCCTTCCCTTCCTCGCTAATTCCTCGGTCTATGACTAATGGAGCCTGCCCGTCGTGATCATAAGACATGACGGTCGTAAAACAAGACCCTGGTGGTTGTAAAAAAGAACACTACGGTTGTTAAATGAACCGATGGTTCACTATGAGCCGGTTTGCAGCAGAGCTGTTTTAAAACGCAGCCGTGACTAGGATGCTACGCATTACTTCACAGCTGCTTCTGGTTGTGCACCAGCCTAAGGACCCTATTATATTCACAATGTAAGGGACTTCAATAACATGGGAAAAGTAATATATAGAAGGGATTTCAATCAACTCATCACATTTTTATTTACACAAAAAAACCTTAACCCCATCCAATATACGTACTTCTCAATTTTAGTATATGTTCTGTCGAAGCGAGCACATAACGTACTTCTTTACTATGTCATCTAGTAGTAAATTCCACCACCAATTGATTGGTAACAGGACGGAATCTGCTCCTCTCAGGGGGTTCCACTGGGTTCAAAAGTGGCAGGAAACACAGAAGTCCTACAAAAGCATTTGCAGCAAAAGTAGCTGGATTCTACCCAGGTTCAACAATCCCAAACAAGTTACTTGTCTAGGAATATACGAGTAGATGCCTCCGGTTATGGTTCAACAGAATAGCTGGGTCATGAGTTCAGAAATAGCAATAGTCATAGCTTTTAGACTTATATACCGCTTCATAGAACTTTACAGCCCCCTCTCAGCAGTTTACAGAGTCAGCCTATCGACCCCAACAATCTGGGTCCTCATTTTACCGACCTCGGAAGGATGGAAGGCTGAGTCAGTCTTGAGCCGGTCAGGATTGAACTCCTGGCAGTGGGCAGAGTCAGCCTGCAATGCTGCATTCTAACCACTGCGCCGCCACAGCTCGTACGGCTCGAAATGCTACCAAAAAGTAACTCGGCATCAGTAGAAAAATATTAGAAAGGGCTATATTCTCAAAATCTAGAGACACCTCTTAGTAGAAACGTAATCAACTCACTTCTCTTCCTGTTATGAAGGTCCAATGGCTTCCAGGGAAAGCTACTCAAACCGTGTCCCTCTCTTCATCTTTCATTAGTCTACGTGTGGAATGTTAAGGGAACAACGCAACCTCCGAATATCTCATCGGCTAATGGTGTGCGACAGGACTGCTGGACTCTTTGGTCTGGTGCAAAGTTTGTAGGATACTAAATGCGCCTTGTCCCTATTGCACCCAGTAGGTTCAACACGGCGCTCTACGAGCAGTTCCAGGTTGGCCCTCTCTTCAAGACTGCTCCGCTTGTTCGACGGGTTGAACTTGTTCCTGTGGTTTTAGAGTAGATGGAAGTTCCTCGGGGGTCGGTTGCTTGGGTTTAGGCTCCAAAGGTAAGGAAGGAACCTTTGCCACATGAGTTGAACTTCCAAGAACTGGAGAAGGAGAGAGCACAAAGCAGTGATGCCAATATTCTTCTCTTCCGGTTAAAAAGCGGTGAAATGCATATTGATATTCTCACTACTTTTATGATGCTGGAAGATCAACATTTCTGTACTTCATTCCTTATTTCCTCCACTTAAGTTTATTTTAAGGATCTGTTATGCTCTCTCATTACCAAAACATCTGAAATATGGCAAAGAACCTAAACATCCACAGACGTTTGAGACACCTGGAAGCCCCCTTAGGATTGATTGATTGATTGATTGACTGATATTTCATATTTCTTAACTGTCCATCACCCTCAGAGAGGGGGATGCACCGAAGGACCCAATTAGGGCTTAGTCGGTCAAGAATTTCCCACTTTCCCATTCTTCCCGGCCACCCTTTTTGTTTTATTTGCTTCCTTCTTTAATTAAAAATTCTCATATCTACAATGTTACAACTCTGAATTTGGTTCTTAAATAACTCAACTGCTCCTCCTTCCCCCATTCCGGGGCCACCTTGAAGAGACACTGCTGACATTGCGCAATGTGCCGTAGGCTTCCTTTACTGTCAAGCGTTCATATTCTCTCTTTCTCTCTCTGCTTCCCTGCCATCAACAAGACAAAAGGGAAATCTTATGCGGATACTTTTCTGCACAGCTGAGTCGAGATTTCATTCTTATCCTGGCTCCTATTTGGGTCAAATGGACTCTGCCGGTTAATGTTTTTTGACCTCCGTTATGTTGTGTTTGTGGCTCCAGTCGGGGTTAAATTTTAACCCTTCTATGGTGCTGGGAGTCATTTTTGTGAGATGGGAGGTGACATGGTTTAAATAGTTATTTATTGAAAACATTAATATAACCGCCCATCTTTCAAACAACTCTAGGCAGCTCCCAATCAAAATAGATAAATATCTGATACGAAGCAGAAGACCCGACAATGGAATCAACATACGATGCTCTACCTATCTCTAGTTATGGTCCTTTTAATCTAAGCAGGATACAAACATGTGGCTAAACCAGGAGTCTCCAAACTTGGCAACTTTAAGACCTGTGGACTTCAACTCCCAGAATTCCCCAGCCAGACATGCTGAAGTGCACAGGTCTTAAAGTTGCCAAGTTTGGAGACCCCTGGGCTTAACCAGCCAACCAGCCATTACCAAGACTAGTCAGGGGCCACTGAAACCAAGCTTTACTGCAGGGGTCTTCAAACTTGGCCCTTTTATGACTTGTGGACTTCAACCCCCAGAATTCCTCAGCCAGGCAAGCTTCAAGGAGTTGAAGTCCACAAGTCATAAAAGGGCCAAGTTTGAAGACCCCTGTAATAAATCAAGTTCATGATCTCGCAGCCTTGCTTTACATCAGGGGTCTTCAAACTTGTGGACTTCAACTCCCAGAATTCCTCAGCCAGGCAAGCTGGCTGAGGAATTCTGGGAGCTGAAGTCCACAAGTCATAAAAGGGCCAAGTTTGAAGACCCCTGCTTTACTGAGCAGCTCCCAGGCCTAGGAGTTCTTGAGAAGAACCGAGAAGGCAAGGATGGATTCTGCTTAAGCCAAGCAGCACCAGAAGACCTACCTCGGCTCATTGTCTTTGCGTACCCAGCTGCAGAGGACATGGCCTGTCCCAGAGCTTGATTGGAACCCAATGGCTGTGCGCTGGGTGCGGTGCCTCGCGGCTTCGATTTCGAGTCTTTCCCAGGTTTAGCCCAGATTGCCACCTCTCCAAGCTGTAAGGAAGTGCCCAGTCTCTGGGCAATGTCCACCATCTGACCACGCAAGAGTAAAAGAAGAAGGAAAACTGAATGCCTGGTCCAATCCTGCAGCAGATTTTACCTGAGTCCTGCACCAATTTTTGCCTTCAGTGAAGGAAATAAGAGAATCTCAAGAGATGCTTATGTAGCTATTCAGAAAAAAAAGGCTCAATTTGTCAGCGGTTGCCAGAAGCAATTTTAATCTTTGAAAGGGACGCAAATTGAATCCTCTGACTTGAATATAGTTTTAAGGTACTCACTTTCAGTAACAGAGGTATCTTCTCTAACAGAACACCTCTGAGGAAGCCAACCACTCTGTTCCCCTGCTGTGGAAGTTCCCATTAGTAGTTTACAACCAACCTACCTCGGGGTCAAAATCCAGGGTGCTCTCTTTTAAGGCATGGACCTTTCTTTGCATCTCATAGTACTGAGCAACAGCCCCCGTCTTGTCTCCTTGATTGTATAGCAGGATTGCGTGATTCAGACTGATGAGTGGGTTGCATCTGTAAAGCAGAAGAAACACGGTGTAACCTTGAAATACCAAACATGGTATTTGGCCAGTAAATGGCAAAGCTAGACAAATGTGACTAATTGCGTTGTAGTCACCAAATTCTCTCATACAGAAAGGATTACAGAGGCTTGATTTTTGTGAACTGGGTCAAGGCAGTGGATCAGACTAAGGATAAGGAAGAGAGAATAATAGAATAACTGTATTGGAAGAGACCTTGGAGGTCTTCTAGTCCAACCCCCTGCTCAAGCAGGAGACCCTACACCAGTGATGGTGAAGCTTTTAGAGACCGAGTGCCCAAACTGCAACCTAAAACCCACTTATGCATCGTCGGGTGCCGGGTGGGTGTGGCCCATTGGGGTGTCTGACCCATTGGGTGGGCGTGGCTGCGGTGGTAACGGCAGACTGGGTGGGACTAAAAAGTTCAATCAATCAACTCCAACTTTGCAAGATCTTTTTTTTCCCGCGAGAAGTTGAAATTGATTGATTGATTGAACCTTTTTTTTTTGCACATGGCAGCGGAGGCCTAAAGCGAAAAGGTTTTATAAAACCCAGCTGAAGGCCTAGGACTGGGGCGACGGCGCGCGTGCCCACAGAGAGGGCTCTGAGTGCCGCCTCTGGCACCGGTGCCATAGGTTCACCACCACTGCCCTACACCATTCCAGACAAGTGGCTGTCCAGTCTCTTCTTCAAAGCTTCCAGTGATGAAGCTCCCACAACTTCTGAAGGCAAGCAATTTCACTGATTGATTGTTCTCACTGCTAGGAAATTTCTCCTTAGTTCTAGCTTGCTTCTCTCCTTGAGAGGTTTCCATCCATTGCTTCTTATCCTTCTGGAGAAGAGATTGACCCCCTCTTCTTTTGTGGCAGCCTCTCAAATATTGGAAGACTGCGATTTTGGGACTTGAAAGTCCACAGGTCTTAAAGGTTGCCAAGGATGACACCCCTGCTCTATAACCCCATCCCTTTTCATTGAGTTCAGAGGAAGCCTTCCCTAAAATTAAGTCAGTAGAGAATACATACGTGTCCAGTGATGAAGCTTTCTGATAGGCTAGCCTTGCGTTTTCAAGATCTTCAAGATTTGTCAGGGCAACTAAAGTAAGGAAAGGAAGAAAAAAACACAGAAGGGTTTATCTTCCTAATTGGGGGGGGGGACACTGAATTTAATTTTACCCTTGAACCCATGACATTTTCCTTTTAAAGAACGAAGGTCTCACTCTTAAGGTGAAATTATCTTACCATAATTGTTTTAGGAAAGTTCGAGATCATTAATGAGGACTGTATGTCTAAAATACTATATCAATGTATACTAGCTATCGTAGCAAAGCAGATGTTTCTGGATGCCAGGAATCAGAATTTTAAGTAAGGAGGCGTGGAGGGCAGGTGGAGTATTGATACCTGCTAGCAACATGTAAAGTTCTGCCAACTTTGGCTGGAGATGGACAGCTGCGCTGATGAAGTGGAAGGCGGAAGCATACTGATGCATTGTCACATGGACCAGCCCAAGATTGTACAGGATCTTCCAATCAAAGGGTGCAAGGTAGTTTGCCCGTTTCAGGCAGCTGATAGCCTGCGGAAGAACATTATTTTGTCACTAGGGGATGTCCCCAGGCCACCTTCTGGGCCTTGGCTGCCCCTACAAAACAACACTGTCCTTCTCCAAAGGAAATCCTACACTTCGCTTGCAAATCCTGGCTAAGCTGAACGTAACTAAATGTCATTCAATTTACTCCGATTGATGAAACCATGGAGAGACAGTTTGCTGTAGTGGTTAAGGTGCTGACCTAGAAACCAGGAGGTGGTGAGTTCTAGTCCTGCCTCAGGCATGAAAGCTGGCTGGGTGACTTTGGGCCAATCTGCAAGAGACAGCGAGTTCTAGTTCCACTTTTGGCACAAGAGCCAGCTGGGTAAATGTGGGCCAATCACCAGAAGACGATGAGTTCTAGTCCCGCCTTAGGCCTGAAAGCTAGTTGGGTGACTTTGGGCCAATCAGCAAGAGACAGCAAGTTCTAGTCCCGCCTTAGGCATGAAAGCCAGCTGGGTAAATTTGGGCCAATCAGCAAGAGACAGCGAGTTCTAGTCCCACTTTAGGCATGAAAGCCAGCTGGATGACTTTGGGCCAATCACCAGGAGATGGTGAGTTCTAGTCCCGCCTTAGGCCTGAAAGCTAGTTGGGTGACTTTGGGCCAATCAGCAAGAGACAGCAAGTTCTAGTCCCACCTTAGGCATGAAAGCCAGCTGGGTAAATTTGGGCCAATCAGCAAGAGACAGCGAGTTCTAGTCCCACTTTAGGCATGAAAGCCAGCTGGATGACTTTGGGCCAATCACCAGGAAACGGTGAGTTCTAGTCCCGCCTTAGGCCTGAAAGCTGGCTGAGTGGCTCTGGGCCAATCAGCAAGAGACAGCGAGTTCTAGTCCCGCCTTAGGCATGAAAGCCAGCTGGGTAAATTTGGGCCAATCAGCAAGAGACAGCGAGTTCTAGTCCCACTTTAGGCATGAAAGCCAGCTGGATGACTTTGGGCCAATCACCAGGAGACGGTGAGTTCTAGTCCCGCCTTAGGCCTGAAAGCTAGTTGGGTGACTTTGGGCCAATCAGCAAGAGACAGCAAGTTCTAGTCCCACCTTAGGCATGAAAGCCAGCTGGGTAAATTTGGGCCAATCAGCAAGAGACAGCGAGTTCTAGTCCCACTTTAGGCATGAAAGCCAGCCGGATGACTTTGGCCCAATCACCAGGAGACGGTGAGTTCTAGTCCCGCCTTAGGCCTGAAAGCTGGCTGAGTGGCTCTGGGCCAATCAGCAAGAGACAGCGAGTTCTACTCCCGCCTTAGGCAAGAAAAACCAGCTGGCTAACTCTGAGCCAATCACTCTCTCTTCGCCCAATCCACCGCACAAGGTTGCTGTTGGGGGGGGGGGAAACAGGAGGAGAAAGAGGTATTATGTATGTTTGCCGCCTTGAGTCATTTATAAAGGAATAAAGGTGGGATAAAAATCAAATAAATAAACAAACACGCGTTCTCCGATAAAGTGATAAATCAGTCTGTTTGTTAGAACCTAGTGAAGTCCATCCTGTGGCACAAGGTGTTCCCAATGTAGGAGATCCGTTAACTGTTTCCCCCCTTTAAGAGTCCTATCAGTGCTGGGAGCAAATCCGGTGGCCTACACAGGTACACGCGTGCCCGTGTACGCAGACATGCCTTTCTGCCTTCTGCTGAACTGGGGAAGGGAGCAGGCAAGGACAATTGGCCTCTTCCCCAGCTTGACGATGCTCCCAACACCAGCAATGTGAATCTGAGCTGGGTGACACAACAGGCCTCTGAAGGTCATGTGTGACTTGGAGACACCCTAGTTCAGGGGTAGGCAACCTTGGCTCTTTTATGACTGGTGGACTTCAACTCCCAGAATTCCTGAGCCAGCATGGGGGAACTATGGCCCCTTCATGACTCGTGGACTTCAACTCCCAGAATTCCTCAGCCAGCATGGGGGAACTATGGCCCCTTCATGACTTGCAGACATCAACTCCCAGAATTCCTGAGCCAGCATGGCTCAGCTTGGAAACCTCTCCCTTTCCCCTCAGCATGGCTGGCTCAGGAATTCTGGGAGTTGAAGTCCACCAGTCATAAAAGAGACAAGGTTGCCTACCCCTGCCCTAGTTCATTCACGGTCATTGTTGCTAGAGAAGAGCCAGTCAAGGCTCTCCTGTAGAGCCAGTGACTAGATAGCTAAATAGTTCAGATTTTAAAAAAGAGAGAGGTGTCGGGGATGCTAGTGGCTCAGTGGGGAAATGAATCCTCTTACGACACACACGTACCCATGCTTGGAACAGCTGCGTATCAAACAGGGCATGTGCCCCTCCGAGGCACACGGCCCCCAAACTATGGAGACAAGGTTGTTTAGCGACTGAGAGCTTCTGGCGCCTGATCAAGTCTTCACAAATCCTCCCAATCGGGAGGCTCTGGCGAGAATGCCAGAGGCAGAAGGCACGGGGAAAGGGAGACACAGCAGGGGTGCCTTCCTTGCTGTTTCTTATTTTCTCCAAATGTCGGATCCACTCGCCTCCCCTCTCCCTGTGTACGTGCTGCCCCTCACCCCCTCTCCCCCAGCCAGAGGCCTTGGAAGGAAAGCAAATGTACCAGGAAACAGACAGAGTAAAAAAAAAAAACAGTGAGGAACGGTCCTCCGTCTCTTTCTTGCAACCAAGGAGCACAGCAGCGCGAGAAACACATCGTACAACCGTTCCTTTAGCGACGGTTGAAAATGACAAGAGCATTGGAAAAAAAGGGACGTGTGACCAGCGCTTGCACCTAGTATTGTCACAGTATCCACACAGTCACACAGATCAAAATTCAGCGGCATGTATTTATGACAGTCGCAGCATCCTGGGGGGTGGGGTAGGTTAAGGAATGGCCATTTGCAACCTTCCCAGCCAGCTTTTGACAAGTCAAAGTCAACGGGGGGGGGGGGGGGACTGGATTCATTTATCAACTGCAGGGATTCATGTAACGATCATGGCCTGGTGGCCCAGTGGCTAGAACGCAGGTCAATGGAGGTCCTTCTGAGATCAATAAAACGAGGACCCAGATTGTTGGGGGCAAAATGCTGACTCTGTAAACCGCTTGGAGAGGGCTGTAAAGCCCTGTGAAGCGGTATATAAGTCCAAGGGCTATTGCTATGGCAAAAAAAGATTGTAAAATCGAGCACGACTCCCTGAACAGCAAAATTCTGGTCCCAACTGTGATCGTTAAGTCAAGTTAAGTCATACGTACCCCCCTGCCATGGAGGAGGAGAAAGACTCCACGGGAAACAGAGAGAGAATTTCTGTTCTTCCTCCTATCGAAACGTACAGGAGGGGGGGACAAGTAACAGGAAGGCAACAGACTTACCGCCACGTATTTCTTTTTGCCAAAAAAGCACATGCCGATGTTGTTCCAGAGCAGAGGGCTCTCAGGAACGGTACAAGCCACGGTCCGGTACTTGCTGAGAGCCATGTCAAAGTCCCCATGGGTTTGCATCATACTGCCAGCTGCCAGAATGGCCTTTAAAAAACAAGGAGCCCACACGAAGCAGGCCAAGGAAGAAAAGGTTTCGTGAATAGAGAATAAGTAAATACGCTACAAGCTCCAGGGCCCGAATGGAGAGGTGTTGTCTTCAGGTTTCGGGAATGCATCCGAGGGTAAACCTGTGGCCCAAAATGGTGAGAAGAGGTAGGATACTACAAACCAGACATAACTGAATTCTTGCTGTCTGGAAGTGGGGAGACAAGAAAGGGCGGTTCGCAATCTCCCATTATACTTGTTGTATACAGGTCTTTATTTACATGCATCCAGGGGCAAGCAACGTTATACAAAATGCAGGGAAGCAATACGAAACAGGGAGCCAGAGAAATCTAGGCACGAGGTAAGCAAAATAAAAGGAATTCGCTAAATTTAGTTTAGACCAACACCGTTTACTATGCCTCGCCCTACCAATTAGGTTTGCTTTTGCTGTGATGATGCCCTACTTAATACATTGAGGATCTCAACTCTATTCACCCCCAGGTTTCGTGGGAACCACTCACTTTTCCTTTGTTTATCTGTTTTGAGATTCCAACCACATTAGTTCCTTCTTTCGATCCAACACCCCCCCCCCCCCCCCCAATATAATTCTTTCATACCATTTATCCCTTTGGCATTTACCACCAGTTCTTTCTGGACTCAGCCTCTCATTTTACTGCCTACCCTTAACTATCCCAGTCTTGCTGTATCCAACTCCGATTTCCATGTAACGAAAGGGACGGAAAGCCGTTTCCTGCACTGCCCTTTTTGCTGATTTCAAAAAAAGCATTCAACACTTGGAACGTGTTTACCATCCTTTGCCCGTGTTGGTATTTCTCTGCTTTCCAATTTTTATAAACAGCCTAGCAAGAATAAATTAATTGGCTTGTCATTTAAGTATAACTTGCAGTTATTCATTTCCTAACCTCCAACATCATCGCATTTATGCATTTAATCATAAATACATTAAGCAAACAAGGGGATATCATATATCTTAATTCTATCTTGCTGAGCAATCTGTGTATTTTCATCTCTCTTTTACTCCCACCTTAAACGATTCCTGGCTACATTCAGCGTTAACTTTATACGTGTGAAAAACACTCATAACTTAAGCCCGTCTTCCTAATTCCACAACTTACCTTATAGTTGCAGGGATCAAATGTGAGTGCATTTCCAAGGTATTCAAAGGCTTTCTGATAAATCTCAAGCTAAGAAAAGAGAAAGCAGATAACCTGGCATGTTTATCACTAAGGATTATTCTACTGTCGCTGCATCCAGAGAAAAGTAGTCCTACACATTATATTTCGGGTCTAAGGGGAAAGAGGGAGAGTCTTCAGTCTACAAATTAGGTGTCATGGTTCTGACAGATGAAACTCTTCAAAGAATTTCGAGGCATTGTTTATCTTAAAGAATCTTTATTTGAGAAGCATAGCATCAGCACTAACACAGTCAAAGCCAAAAACTGGATTACCCTCCCCTGAGCCCATAGTATCAAAGCACAATTCCCTCCTCCAATTAACAGTCATAAATCACATTCCCCAATTATCTTGAAGTGCAGGCTCTCCCTCCAGTCCTCCAGCTCGCCAATTCTTATCATCTCTTATTTCATTAACCTTGGTTCTCACATCAAGTCCAGTATTGTTATGTCTATCTAAACTCTCATGCACAATCCTCCCCCCACCAGCATCACCTAACTCTAAAAGTAAAACATAAGAAGAAAATGGTTGCCTCTCTAACTGTTGTCAAAGCAAAAACATCCGATGTTAGCAGCGTTGACATTAGGTGTGGGGTGGAGGGAGCAAAATAGTGGAGATTTACTTTCAATGCAAAGAAGGGGAAAACATCTACTACCAACTGCAGGTGATCCCAGACTTACAACAGTTCATTGAGTGACTGCTCCAAGTTACAACAGCATTGAAAAAAAGGGACTTATGACCGTTTTTCACACTTACGGCCACTGTAGCATCCCCAAGGTCACGTGATCAAAATTCAGATGTTTGGCAATTGGCACATTATTTATGGAGGCTGCAGCATCCGGGGGTCACGTAAATCCCCTTTTTGCGACCTTCTGACAAAGTTAATGGGGAAGCTGGATTTGCTGAACAATCCTATAACTAACTTTAATTGCAGGGATTCACTTAATAATGTTGGCAAGGAAGGTTGTCAAATGGGGCAACGCTCACTTAGCAACTGTCTTGCTTAAACAGCAGAAATTTGGGGCTCAACTGTGGTCGTAAGCCGAGGACTACCTGAATGTAGGTACCTGATGATTTAATGACCAACTTTTCTTACCTCGAGGTAAAGCAAGCCCAGAATTGTAAGGAGCTCTGTGTTTTCAGGGGAGAATCTGAAAAAAAAAACAGAAATAGAGATTATGGGGATTTAAGGCATCTGTTGCCTTCGTTAAATCCAAGCATTCATTCGTCTGCAGGGGAAGGAAGAAGCTTCGTAACAGGTGGCCCCAAATACCGTGGAGTTGATGTCCGCAAGTCTTAAAGTGGCCACGTTTGAGGACCCCTGGTCTACATATATCAGTGGTGGTGAACCTATGGCACGCGTGCCAGAGGCGGCACTCAGAGTCCTCTCTGTGGGCACGCGCGCCATGCCCCAGAGATGGCAACTGTCCCTCTTCAACCAGCCATCCGCTAACTCGACGAGGTCCCACGTGGCCGGATGCATCCCAGCACGGCTGGTTTCCCTCCCCCCATCCCCTCCCTCCTGGTCTCACATGCTCTCCTTGTCCTGGGCACGACCCACTGCATCGCCTTCTCAGCTATCGGCCGTCCATCCAGTTCAAAGGCAGCTTCTTTGAACTGCTGGTGGCAGGCTGCGGAGCCCCAGAGTGCGCCAGTTGAGGGGCCGGCAGGCTGTGGCTGCTGATGGACACCGTCGGCTTCCATGCGCTCGCTGACCTCTGTGTGCAGGGGCTGATGGTGTCAGGCAGCAGCCACCCCGGCCCTTGCCTTGCCCCATGGTAATGGCACCCCCACCCTGCCGTGCCTCACCCCGCAGGACGAGCCTCCTGCCTACCGCCCCACCTGTCAGAAGCCCCCTGGATCTCCCCCAACCCTGTCCACCCCCCACAGGTGTCCCTCCCACGAGCAACATTGAGGTGACCAGGCCCACCTTGGCCAACCCACCCAATCTGCCATGACCACCACAGCCACTCCCACCCAGTGGGCCACGCCCACCCGGCACCCGGCGATAAATAAGTGGGTTTTGGGTTGCAGTTTGGGCACTCGGTCTCTAAAAGGTTCGCCATCACTGACATATATAATTGAGCTTGGATTTTAAGATGAGCTTGGCCCTCCGATGGAACGCCCTCTTTCCTGCCTCTCCCTCCAGCCCTAAAGAGAAGAAATGAAGAAAATTGCTTACTCCACTGCCTTTTTATAGATTTCAATGGCTGCATCTCTTTCCCCCTCCATCAGGTGAATCCTCCCCAGCGTCATGTATGTCAGGTCATGTCGGTTGAGCTGCAAGGCGTTGTTCAGTTGATCTTTGGCCTGAACGCAAGCGAGAGAATGGGCTCGGTCTTGTCACGATCACCCCGAACACTGCTCTTATTCTGGGATGGCTTGAGCTGAAACAGATCTATCCCTCCCCAACAATGTCAAGCAACTGCTGCAAGCGAGGGGGGGGATGACATAAAATATATCAAATATATCTTCTAGTCCAACCCTTTGCTCAAGACCGGATAAGGTTTATCCGTCCTGTATGGTGCTACTTCCAAGCCTTTAGTGCTTTGTACCCCCCAGCCCTCCTGTAAAACTAATTAGGGGAGACATGATAGCAGGGTTCCAATATTTGAGGGGTTGCCACAAAGAAGAGGGAGTCAAGCTATTCTCCAAAGCGCCTGAAGGCAGGACAAGAAGCAACGGATGGAAACTAATCAGGGAGAGAAGCAACTTGGAACTAAGGAGACATTTCCCGACAGTGAGGAACAAATAATTAGTGAAACAACTTGCCTCCAGAAATTGCACAGTGCTTCAACATTGGAGTTTTTTTAAAGAAAAGATTGGACAACCATTTGTCTGAAATGACATATGGTTTCCTGCTTGAGCAGCGGGCTGGACTAGAAGACCTCCAAGGTCCCTTTCTGTTATTAGGTTACTATTCTAATTCATTACACGACAGATACCGCGAACCCAGCTGGGGGGGGGTGAGCTTTGGGCTGAGGCTAGAGTTGCAATGAGTTTGAGGAAATGTAAAGCGACGAAAAGATCCCAGCAGGATTTTATAGGTCATCCTGCCCAAAAGTGCTGATGCCAGCAGGAACTTCAAGATTGATGAACTGAGTAGAGACGAGGCGGTTTCTTCCTGCTAAAACCCTCCCCATCAAAAGGCATTGATTGGGAGGCCTCGTTTTCTTCTCCCCCAGACCCAGCCAGTGGGATGGAAGGAAAAGGTTGCAGGTTTTGATATTTCTCCCCCAGGCACATTTAAAAAAGGGGAGAGGAGATTGGAGAGAGAGAAAGGAAATCCTACCTAATGGACTGAAATGGTTTTGTGTTTTGTTTTGCTTTGTTCTGTTATAGAAATAGATTGAGTGTTAGACTATCTATACATAGAATAGAGTAATATTTTTTATCTTAATTGGGATAATTATTTTGTAGTGGAAGAAGAAATAAGAGAGATTTGTGATAAAATTAATGATTTATTAGATTTAGAATACATCTGGATATATTAGAATGTTACTGCTGGAATATTATGTGTATTTTAGAAGGGGTACCCGAAGTGCTAATATTATGTTTATTTAAGATTAAATCGGATTATGGTAATTGTAAATTAGTAAAGCTTAAAAACAGGATTTGGATCGATATAAATGTAATTTAGAAATGGATTATTTTAAATATGTTATGCTATTGGAGGGAAGCAGAGAGGGAACGTCTAATGTATTAATTTGAGTTTTATATATATATATGACTTTCTTTTTGGATGATTGATTACCCCATCACCACGGTGTTTCTCGAGCATTTTGTTGTAAATGTTTAAAAAACCAATAAAACTTGTTTGTTTTTTAAAAAAAGGATGACTTTATGTAGCACAGCACATTTGTTACTAAAAGGTATAAATAGCACAACACTCTGTAGACTTCATTATATTTTATAGGCTGGTATAAGTTAGCCTAAGAGGGACAGAAGGAACTCCTCAACCTAACAGCAAAATACACTACTGTAGCAAGCTTCCCTTTTAAAGGCAAACATCACCAACGTGCAGAGGAGAGAGAAGAGAGGGGGCACTTTTCATGGCTGGAGAGAAGCCAGCCAAGAATCCTCCCTTAATAAAATATTGGCTTGGTCTTAGCAACTAGAACAAAACAAACAGGATTTTCTGGTTCAGGGAATGCAACCTTACTGGAAGAGGCAACCTGCCAGTACAGGGAGCATCATAACACCTAAATATCTGGATTGGAAAGATACAGGAACCAGTTGGGGACTTAAGAGGGCTAGCTGAAGCTTCAAGATCGCATAAGTCTAACTTGGAGATTCTTTTTCCCAAGGCAGCTTGACGATATTAAGTAATGAAATGCAGAGTCTGGCTTTCTCATCAGGATCAAGAAACAGCTTTGAATCTTGGAGGGTTTCTGGAAAGCTGAGACCTTGACCTATATCAGTGGTGGTGAACCTATGGCACGGGTGCCAGAGGCGGCACTCGGAGCCCTCTCTGTGGGCACACGTGCCGTTGCCCCAGCCTCACCTCCCCCCATGACCCCCCTCCTCACCAGCAGCCCCCCTGGAGGAGAGTCGCCCCTGAGCATGGCCCACACGAAGCAGTGCAGCCAAGGACATGGCAGCCAGGCAGCGTAGACAAGACTCTGCCCTCACGCCCCATCCCGCACAGTTGATGCTGTGGGGCACGGGCAGAGGGCGTGGCCGCCATGGCGCTGCTGGGCTGCTTGGGCAATCTGTGGCGGGCCCTGGAGGCGATGAGTGGCCCTGTGGGCAGGCGGGGTGGGGGACGGGGTGGGGGCAGGGGCTGGGGTGGGGCAGGGGAGGGGGGCAGTTTTGGGGCACTCGGTCTCTAAAAGGTTCGCCATTACTGACCTATATGGATTGCCTGGCATATAGTATAGCTGAACGGCCGGTTTTTACCTTGTTGAAATATTTCAGCTGCATGTAGCAGACGCCCAAGTTATGAAAGATCTCCTAGGTACGAAAAGAAGGGAGGTTTATAAAGCGCTCAAAAAAACGGAAACCATTTCTCGTGGCGCACTGCAAAACGCTGAAGTCAAGCGCGTTATTGACCACAAAATTCAAGCAAGGACACACCTTGCAAATAATCTGAAAAAACAGGAATGATGCAATTTCAGCTAATGACAAAGATATTAAGATAGCTTTTCCCAACCTGCTGCTTGGCTCTCTTGAAGGCCATCTTAGATGGGAGTGCTGGGTGTTGAAATCCAATGTATCGGAAGGGCAGGAGGTTGGGAAAGGTTACCAAGACATAAATATAATGAAAAGGGCAACTTAGTAAACATTTAGCCAAACATGTCAATTAAATTTTCTTCTTAGACTATCAGCCTACATGGTACAGTGGCTGGAAGGTTGAACTAGGGACAAAGCACCCCAGATTCTGGTCAGTTCCAATCATAATCTAGACCAGTGTTTCTCAACCTCAGATGTGGGGGGGCTTCAATTCCCAGAATGCCCCAGCCAATCAGGAATTCTGGAAGCTGGTCCACCCATCTTAAAAGCGGCTAAGATTGAGGAACACTGATTTGGACAGTTAAATCTGAATGTACTGTATGGATGCAGAAAATAAAATTTTGGTTCAATAGCAATATCATGCAACAAACAGGTGGATCTGTTTAGCATATAACTATATTATTTTAACCTGCCAACGCATACAATGGCAAAATACTGTGTTGCAGCAATGTCCACAAGAAAAAAATTGGTTACAGATTTATAGCCGTCAACTTGTGCCAATTTTTGGGAGATTATCTCTAATAAATTGGGAACATTATATTTACTCACACACTATCCACTCACATAAACTAGGGAGTGACCATAACATTTTGAGAACATGTATTTTCTTAACAGGGATGTTATTATTTACTATTAATGTCAGTACTATTTTTATTTTTATTTTTTTTCTTAATATATTGTAAAAAGTGGTGTTTATTGCTGGTCTATGACCGTAATAAAGTTATTATTAAAAATATTGCTGCCAAAATACTATGAATTGCACAACTGGCCAACATTTGAGTCCAGAAAATATCCACCACAATGAAAGAATGCATGCTAAGAGGATATGGGTCTATCCACTTAAGAAAATTATTTCTTCCAGATGGGGAAAAATTGGAAGATGGAGCCTTGTTGTGTGTATCAATCAGAGACAACCCCGCTTCGCTTCTTCTAGTTTGTTCTTCCTCTGGAGATGGCTGGAGATCCCATCACAGACCTTACTTCATAGGGCCCGGACCCAGCCTGAATCCTTACCAACGAACAGCCTCTCCTTGCTCACGTGTTCATCCCATATTAAGCCAAGCTGTACACTTATACAGGTAGTCCTCCACTTACGACCACAATTGAGCCCAAAATTTATGTTGTTAAACAAGACATTTGTTAAATGAGTTTTACCCAACTTTACAACCTTGTCAGAAGGATGCAAAAGGAGAGGGCATGATTCCGGGACACTGCGACCGTCATAAGTATGAAGCAGTTGCCAAGTGTCTGAATTCTGATCGTGTGACCACGGGGACGCTGTAATGGCCATGTGAAAAAACGGCCCTAAGTCACTTTTTTTCAGTGCCGTTGTAACTTTGAACGGTCACTAAACGAACTGTCGTAAGCTGAGGACTACCTGTATAGGCAGAAACAGGGTACTGGAGCCGCATTTTGTCTCGCAAGCTACATTACTGTGCACCAGTTTCATCTTAGCTGTTTCTCCCCCCCCCCCCCGAGTCGTGCTTTTAAGAAGTGGCTGCTGCTTGTATAAAGAAGGGGGAAAAAACGGTGTAAATCTGGCCTGTGGTCCTTGACTGGTTTGTCCACATCCAATCCTGACAATCCTATTTAGAAACAAGGAGGAGAGCCTCAAACGTACCCAGTCCTTCTCGTTGTGTTGAGCCGCATCGTTGTAGACTTCAATAGCTGCTTTGTGCTTGCCCAGAAGGAACCTGCAACACATCCCCTCTTTCTTATTTTTTTCTCAGCTTGTTTACTGGAGAGGAAAGGGTTTGTTGGTCGTGGGATCAAGGGAGCTTTTAAGGAAAGCACTTGTCTTCTCAGACAGAACAGAGCAGGCAAGAGCTGCCTAAAGGATTATCATCTTTACAGCCAGAGAGGGATTGTATAAGTAGTCCTTGACTTACAGCAGTTCATTTAGTGATTGTTCAAAAGTACAACGGCGCTGAAAAAAATATGGACTTAGGACTGTTTTTCACACTTATGACCACTGCAGTATCCCCCGCGGTCCATTCAGATGCTTGGCAAACTGACTCCTATTTATGACGGCTCCAGTGTCCCGGGGTGGGTCATGACAAGCAAAGTCAATGAGGAAGCCAGATTCATTTAACAACCGGGTTACTAACTGCAGGGATTCACTGCAGGAAATGTCGTAAAATGGGGCAAAACTCACCTCACAACTGTCTCACTTAGCAACACAAACTCTGGCCTCAATTGGGGCCATAAGTCAAGGACTACCTGTAAACTCCTCTGAGGTGGGGGAAAAACATATTGCTCAGGATAATATGCCAACAGACAGATTTATTATTAATACTAGCTGTACCCGGCCACGCGTTGCTGTGGCTCAGTCTGGTTAGCATGTGTTGCTTTTACGTCCAACAGATGGTGCTGGGTTTTTTTAAAAAAGCATGTTTTTACCTGTCACAGGTGTGACATCTATATAATAGTAGGTATATAAAAACACGCGCGTATTCGAATGCAACGTTGTGTCAAAATTTCAAAGCAATCGGTGAAGAACTTTCAGAGATTTAAGATTTTGAACAAACAAACACTTACATTTTTATTTAGATAGATTATTATTTTGGAGAAGGGCAATAACAGAATGAATGATTGTCTTCTGGCCCAGCTCGTGCACTTCCTTGAAGCATCAGGATCATTGCATCCCTGAATCAGTGGATCCCTGAATCATTACTCTGATCCAGCTATGTTCTGAAGCACGCAGTCAAGTAAAATACATGCCGGGAAGCTGGATTACGCACGTATGGATGCAAATGACATGGACACCACCTTCAGACGTCCCATCTCACTCCATGAGACATCTTAGATCAGGGGTCCCCAACCCATGGACTGTGGCCCACTGCCGGGCCTTGGGCTATTGGCCACTGGGCCGCGTGAGTGGGGGGGCAGTGCACGCGTGTGTGCACACGCACACAGCCCCACTTGCGTGAGCTTCACCGCAACTGTGGCAGATGTTTGCAGCTCCACTTGTGCGAGTGCTCATGGCCCCATGAGCGCAAGCAATGGGTGTTTTGTGTGCATACGTACGCATGTGTATGCATTTACCCCTCCCACAAAACCATCCCGTCTTCCTTCCCCTCCTCCTGCTCCGGGCTACCAACCCCCAAATATTGGGAAACTCTTGTCTTAGATAGGAAGAATAAAATGCCACTTACAGGGAACGGGCCACCTGCTTGAGGTTGTCTGCACATCGAGGCCTGAGAATAGCACAAGTCTGGAAAAGCTCCAGAGATTCGTGAATTTTCCCTTCCAAGCGAAAGATCAAAGCTAGAAGTAACATTGCCATAACAGCGCATTAATCAGGAGGATTCCGTGTTCATATTTTAAGATGGAATATTTTAATTTCTGCTAATGCTTTACGGAACGGTTCCGTCTTAAAGGACAGCCTCAAAATGTTTCAGATATGCACATGAGTGAACAAGGAGATTAGGTATCCTGCTCTTGGTTATACTTCTATTCAAAAATTGGCCTTCCCAGAACTATTTTTCATTTTAAAAACACACTGGAGTTGCAGCAAATAACCTGATGAGTGACATATAGATTGCCCCTCGGCTGCGTGGAGACGCGATCCAGATTCTCCAAGTCACTCCAGGTAAATGAATTTTTTTCAGTTTTGAATTTCTTGTCTACCCTTCGCCAAACAACCAGCAATGGTGCAAATATCCCGCTCCCAAGTTGTTCTATAAAACAGGATGTGCTGGATTAGTCAAGCACTGCAAGCTTTGACTTTGATCCCCAAAGAGGTGGCTGTGTGTTCTTACAAAACACATAAATGCAGCTGGAAGTCTGTTTAATCACAGAGTCATTTTCGCTTACCTTGAACATAGACGGCGTATTCACACATTCCTTGGGTTTCCTGCAGTTGCTCTTTGATAGCAATCTGAACCGCAAAGGAAGAGAGATTCAGTAATGGGAATTTTTTAATTTGGAGAAGAGGCAGAAATGTCATCAGCTCTCCAATTGACTGGTCCTTTTACAACAGCAATTGAACGCTGAGTTAGGGAAGGTCGGTCTTTGGGGAAGGTTGGCACCGAAACTTAAAATGGGTGTCCTAAGAATAAGAGGTGGTGCTAGGCAGGGCACAGGATGTGCATGTTTTTATGATCATTATGTTTTCTATTAGAACAATGTTGCCTTACATTTTTTGATCAAACCAAAGACCATCTGGAACTCTGAGCTTGTTAAATCAGAGCAAAGAAGGAAGCAGACAGACCCAGCTGTGCTTGAGGATGTGAGATGAATGGTAACAAGTGATTCAACAGGATAGGGTAGAATAGGGCAGGGCAGAACAGAACAAAATTCTTTATAAGTGTGATCGGACACACAAGGAAATTGTCTCCGGTGCATAAGCTCACAGTATACATATAAAAAGCAAGCCATAGGTAATAATAATAATGATAAAGTTGGAAGGGACCTCGGAGGTCATCTAGTCCAACCTCCTGCTCAGGCAGGAAACCCTATACCATTTCGGACAAATGGCTGTCCAGTCTCTTCTTAAAAACTTCCAGTGTTGGAGCATTCACAGCTTCTGGAGTCAGGTTGTTCCACTGGTTAATTGTTCTAACTGTCAGGAAGTTTCTCCTTAGTTCTAAGTTGCTTCTCTCCTTGATCAGTTTCCATCCATTGCTTCTTGTCCTGCCTTCAGGCGCTTTGGAGAATAGCTTGACTCCCTCTTCTTTGGGGCAGCCCCTGAGATATTGGAACACTGCTATCATGTCGCCCCTCGTCCTTCTCTTCATTAAACTAGACATACCCAATTCCAGCAACCGTTCCTTATAATTGCAATCACTAATCATAAGTTACAAACAACCATTGATAAATCATAAGAAACCAATGGGAGAAGATAGTAGGCAAGACGAGAAGATGAGAAAAGACGAGAAATGAGACTGAGCCGTGGGAATTAAGTGTTCAGCAGAGTGATGACTTGGAGGGGGGGGGGGGAAACTATCTTTATGTCTAATGGTTTTGGCATGCGAGTGTTGTAAGTAAAAACAGTCCCTTCATCAGGAAAAAGGCCGCCTGAGCGAACACAACTTATGTGTCACATATTTCTTCTCCTCTTCCCTGACAGGTTTCATACTGCCACAAAACACTTTGCAACTTGATGCCGATATCGCTGACAAACTGCCGGCCAGGGAAGACTTATTTTTTTTCCACTGTACAGCATTATCCGCAATTTATAGAGTTATCCCAAAGAGGGCCCCAATCAACTTCGGAACAAACACTGGGTGGCAATCCTGGTTGGCGCTAACCACAACTAGTCACACTAATTAGGATTCTTGGGGGGGGAGGGAAAAAAATGGGTTGTGCAGGAGGGAAGCCAAACCCTGGTTTGGGGAGTCATGGAAAACGGAACTGAATGCCACACTGGGTACAAAGACCTGGGTTTTTCCTCTTCTCTTGTTGACACAATTGTTCAAGGTCTGGTATGTTTGTCTGTGGCTGGTGCTACACTCAGCCTTATGACTGCCCAGACAAGTTTCTGCAGTCTTCTTGGCAACATTTTTGCAAATGACATTTTTGGCCCTTTCTTTCTTTCTAGGGCTGAGAAAGAGTGACTGGCTCAAAGTTTCCCACCCGTGCCTAAGGCAGGGCTGGCCCAGGAGATTTAATGACTTCGCCAAGCTCGTTCCTACCTTACACGCATCGTAATCTTTGTGGACGTAGTACAAGTGGATCAGCCAGTTCCTCTTCTCCAGAATGGGAAGGTCGGGCCCTGCGAAATAGGATGGCAGAACAAATATTTAGAGCAGTGCTTCTCAACCTTTTCACCCATTGTACCACTTTTAGGATATGGCAACATCCGAGTACCACCAGTCACCTAGCAAAGTGTCAAAAACGTGATGACCCCCCCCACCAAAAAGGAAAAAAGTGATAAAGTACAGGTAGTCCTCGACTTACAACAGTTCGCTTAGTGACTGTTCGAACTTACAATGGCACTGAAAAAGGTGCCCCCCCAAGCCACAGCCGAGCAAGACACCTGCCTGCCCTCCCAGCAGCACTCTTCCTCCTGTCCAAGGTTTCCATTGTTGTGAGCATTTCTGTTGAGGATTGGCAGCGGGGGTGGGGTGGGGTTTTGGTCACTTCACATGACCCTGGGACCCTGTGACCGTCATAAATATGAATCAGTTGCCAAGCATCTGAATGTAAATCACAAGACCCTGGAGAGGCTGCAACATTCCAGGTGATCAGCGCTTCTTCTGGGCTCAGCAGAAGCGCCAGGATCAGCGCCGAGCTCCAGCTGGAGCCTGGCGCTGATCCTGGCGCTTCCACTGAGCCCTGACAGCCCCGAAGCGCCGATCAGCTGGAAAGCGGCACTGATCCTGGCGCTTCCACTGAGCCCTGACAGCCCTGCAGCTCCAGCCGTCTCTTGTTCAGGCTTGTGCGATGGTGCTACCAGTTCAGCTCATTCCCCTCCCCTGCTACTTTTCTAGGATGGTCGCGTACCACCTGCCAGGTGCCAATGTACCACAGGGGGTACCCGTACCACTGGTTGAAAAGCCCTGGTTTAGAGCAGTGCTTCTCAACCCTGACACAACTTGAAGATCTCTGGGATTGGAACTCCCGGAATTCCCCAGTCAAAGATCTTAAACCTGGCAAGGTGGAGATTTAAATACGCCACTGACTCAAGCCTCCCACCAGGGCCACATAAAGCAAAATCTGCTTTTCTGGCCGAAAACAGAGCAGGAGGCACCAGCAGGAGACAGAGGCCATGCTGTGCAGTGGGGGAGATTTTTGAAAGACCACCGCAGGAGACGCTGAAGAGGTCACGAAGTCTTGGTAGCCGCTATTCCTGCCAAATGATCTTGCGTTCCCATCTCCTTCGGGAGTTGTTCAAAGCCCTTCGTATCTCACCGAAAAAAAACCCTCACGACAAAAACGAAGGTAATACAGTCAAGTCCTCGGCCCACAACAAGTTCGTTTAGTGACCGTTCAAAGTGACAGCGGCACTGAAAAAAAAAGGAACTTGTGACCGTTTTTCACACTTACGACCGTTGCAGCCTCCCCAGGGTCACTTGGTCGGCATTTGGGAACTGGGCAACTGACTCGTATTTATGACGGCTGCAGCATCCCGGGGCCACGGGATCCCCTCTTGCGACCTTCTGACAAGCAAAGTCAATAGGGGAAGCCAGACTCGCTTAGCGACCATGTCACAAACTTAACTGTGATGGTTCACTTAACGACCATGGCAAGAAAGGTTGTAAAATGGGGCAAGACTCACTTAACAAATGTCTTGCTTAGCAACATAAATTTGGTGCTCAATGGTGGTGGTAAGGAGGACCACCTGTAGTCAAAGAAATGATTTCTTTTATCCAAGCCAACAAACAGACTAGTCTAGACTAGACTAGAAGACTAGGAAGAATAGAATAGAATAAAATAGAATAGAAGACTAAGAAGAATAGAATAGAATAGAATAGAATAGAATAGAATAGAATAGAAGACTAAGAAGAATAAACTAGAATAGAATAGAATAGAATAGAATAGAATAGAATAGAATAGAAGACTAAGAATAAACTTGACTAGACTAGACTAGAAGATTAAGAAGAATAAACTAGAACAGAATAGAAGAATAGAATAGAATAGAATAGAATAGAATACTAAGAAGAATAAACTAGACTAGACTAGAGCTGGAAAGGACCTTGGAGGTCTTCTAGTCCAGCCCCTGCTTAAGCAGGAGAACCTATACCATCTCAGACAAGTGACTGTCTAGTCTCATCAACATTTCAGGTCAATGGCAGAAAAGAGGTTCCATAAACTGAACACTGTCACACTCAAAAAAAAAAAAAAAATCCCTTTACTGGGCCACTCCCACTGAGTTCTTGGACGAGCTGAATCTGTAGGAATACATGATCCTTTATGCCAAGATCTAAGGCTGGGTAGGGGGGTGTTTCCCATCTGCCAAGCCCCCACTGCCCTTCCAAACCCAGCTGGGGCATGCCTATTTTCCTGGGAGAGATGGGGAAACAACATTACACCCTTCTCGAGCTGCCACTGAGTGATTTTTGCCATTTGCAAAATTCTTGCAGACTGATTTCCTCTTATTTTAATGACACACAGGCTAACCCGAATTTAGTTCTTATTCTGGTCCTGCTGCTTCACACTTTTTTTTTTTTAAAGATTACAGCTGCTGGCTTGGAAAAAGTTGTTCAAAAAAACCCCCACAAAGCCTTTTAGAGATAATCATTCATACTTTAAAGTGGGCCCCGAACTGGAGTAAATTTCACTCCTATTTTTTGAATTCTGTGGAGCATCAGGCTGGTTATTGCTAGAAGGGCGGTGAGGCTGAGATAGCATGTCAAATCTTTTCCTCTTACTGTGGGGGTGTTTGGGGGGGGGGGGAGAAAAGGTCAATGTTAAGCTCTCTAGCAGCTCTGGCTCACAATACGATCAATAGGAGGGAGCCCCCAGCTACTAATCCTGATCCAGTATGGCTGTTCTCAACCACCTCTGTTGTTGGCTTGGAAGTTTTTAAGGAGACGCCGCCATTCGCATCCCACCAACATGGCTTGAAGTGCGCCAAACTCATCCCTGCAGCTGAGATGGGGGTAAGCCAAGGTAACCATAGCAACTAATAGGGAGGAAAAAAATGTTTGTAAGTGGATATGATGATAAAGGAGCTCAGCAGAAAACAAGGGGGGGGGAAGCTGCTGAGACAGCAAATGCAGAGGTGACGGAGAGGAACGTCTAGGGCAGGCAGTTCACAATGCAGAAAGCTTTGCAGAGAAGAAGGGGGGGGGGGTTCCGAGCTATTCTCCAAAGCCTGGGGAGGGCAAGACGAGAAGTAACGGGTGGAAGCTTATCCAGGAGAGATTAAAAACAAGAACTAAGGAGAAATTTCTCCTGTCATTGTGGGTGCTCCAATACTGGAGGTTATTAAGAAGAGACTGGACAGCCATCGGTCAGGAATGGTGTAGGGCAGTGGTGGCGAACCTATGGCACGGGTGCCAGAGGCGGCATTCAGAGCCCTCTCTGTGGGCACGCGCGCCGTCGCCCCAGTCCTAGGCTTTCAGCTGGGTTTTATAAAACCTTTTCGCTTTAGGCCTCCGCTGCCGTGTGCAAAAAAAAAAAAACAGGTTCAATCAGTCAATTTCAACTTCTCACGGAAAAAAAAAAGATCTTGCAAAGTTGGAATTGATTGATTGAACTTTTTAGTCCCACCCAGTCTGCCGTTACCACCACAGCCACGCCCACCCAATGGGCCACACCCACCCAACGGGCCACACCCACCCGGTACCCAATGATGCATAAGTGGGTTTGGGGTTGCAGTTTGGGCACTTGGTCTCTAAAAGGTTCGCCATCACTGGGATAGGGTCTCCTGCTTGAGCATGGGGTTGGACTAGAAGACCTCCAAAGAAGAGGGAGTCAAGCTATTCTCCAAAGCGCCTGAAGGCAGGACAAGAAGAAGCAACGGATGGAAACTAATCAAGGAGAAGCAACCTAGAACTAAGGAGAAACAGTTAAAACAATTAACCAGTAGAACAACCTGCCTACAGAAGCGGTGAATGCTCCAACACTGGAAGTTTTAAAGAAGAGACTGAACAGCCACTTGTCTGAAATAGTATAGGGTTTCCTGCCTGAGTGGGGGGTTGGACTACATGATCTCCAAGGTCCCTTCCAAGTTTTATTATTATTATTGTTATGATGATGATGATGATGGTGATGATGATGATGATGTCCCTTCCAACTCTGCTATTCTGTATTCTGAATTGAGGACAGGTTGTCCTCGACTTTCAACAGTTCGTTTAGGGACTGCCCCAAGTGACAACAGCATTGGGAAATGGGACTCATGACCGTTTTTCGCACTGGCGACCTTTGCAGCATCCCCCAGGATCAGGTGATCAGAATCCAGACGGCTTGGCAACTGGTTCCTGTTTAGGACGGTTGCGGTGTCCCCTTTGGCGATCTTCTGACAAGCAAAGTTCAATGGGTCACAAACCGGGTCACTAACTTATCAACGGCAGCAATTCAGTTTTAACGACCGCCGCACGAACGGCCGTAAAATGGGTCAAACTCACTTAACAAACGTCTCGCTTTTGGGAGGGGCGGCTCAACTGTGGTTGCGAGTGGAGGGCTAGCCACCTGTCGTTCTTAATTCACATTGAGAAAGGTCTCCTTCCAGATGGCACCGACTCAAATGGGGCTTCAGGCTGCCTTAGCTATGTCTCCCATTCACCTTTCCTTGAGCAAAAGGGACTGGCTTGTTTTCAAAAAAATAAAATAAAATAAAAATCGGGGTGGCTGGGAGAATAAACCATCTGAAATAGGTTGCTTGAGTGCTACGGTGAATGCTAATCGCTGCAAGTAGACCTCCAGAGCGTTTGCAATATGTTGGACTCGCATTCGCAATCCGACCAATTTATTTTCAAGGTGGCAGGAAGGACGAGCCCCCCCCCTCTCTCTCTGTGTGTGTGTGTGTATATATATATATATATAGTGTCCAAATAACCACGATCACCAAGAGAAGATAAAATGTTTATAAACAATTAAAAAGTTAAAAACAATTTAAAAGCAATAAAACATTTAAAATTATCGGCAACCGAGCTTTCGTCGGACTCTCCCGACATCATCAGGGTTGCTGAGGCGGTGTTTGGGAGGGTTTATATACAATTCACACNCAGTTAAAACAATTAACCAGTAGAACAACCTGCCTACAGAAGCGGTGAATGCTCCAACACTGGAAGTTTTAAAGAAGAGACTGAACAGCCACTTGTCTGA